GATATATGAACATCATTAGACACAATACATACTCATGTAAATAATATATAAACCAAAGGCAAATACAAGTAAAATGTAAACATTTACAATGATTATGACTGTCTAATAACTCTTCAAACAAATTTATGACAGTTCTATGCTTAAATTGTTTCCAAGTATTTGTGAATGTCCTGCTATGAACATCTTTGTACATAAAGCTTTTTATTTCTTTTTTTAGAAAAAAAAAAGATTATCAAAAAGCCCCAGAAGAGGAAGTTAAAAAATAGTGAAAATGTCAAGGTCATCAATATATCTTTGATATTTCCAAAGATGTTTTTATCAATATTTATATCATAACTAGTATGTGATGTTTTACTGAACTTTTTAAAATTTTATTATTGGCAAAGATGCAGTTCATAACTTTTTGAGGTTGAAATCCTAAAATGTAATATGTCTTTCTTCAAAATATGCCCCTTCCTCTCTCCTCCTCCTCTCCTCTCCTCTCCTGTCCCCTCCCCTCCCCTCCCCTCCCTTTCCCTTTCCTTTCCTGGATGTTAACCTGTTTTAGTTCTCTATGATTCCTTTTTTTGATTTTGGGTTTTTTTTTTTGAGACAGTCACACTATGTTGCCCCAGCTAGAGTGCTGTGACATCACAGCAACCTCAAACTCTTGGGCTTAAGTGATTCTCTTGTTTCAGCCTCCCAAGTAGCTAGGACTATAGGCTCCCACCACAATGCCCAGCAATTATTTTTTTGATTGTAATTGTCATTGTTGTTTGGCAGACCCGAGCTATATTTGAACCCACCAGCTCCAGTGTATGTGGCTGGCGCCCTAGCCGCTGAGCTATAGACGCCAAGCCAATTTTTCAATTTTTAATAGAGGTGGGGGGTCTCACTCATGCTCAGGCTGATCTTGAACTTCTGAGCTCAAGGGATTCTCCCACCTTGGCCTCCCAGAATGCTATGATTACAGGCATGAGCCACCACTCCTGGCCCCTTGATTCTAAATATAGGTTCTAAATTCTAAGCTGAGGGACTCTGATCCAGGACAGGAATCCTGTGATCATGAAAGTAAGCCTTAGTTATTCTTTAAATAAATTGTTAAGCTTCAAGGTGATTTATACAGTCCACTGATGTGTGAATGAGAAATTGACAGAATAAACAAAGAAATAATTTGAATAGGAAAACAGACCTTCAAACACTTCATAAAGCTATAAAAACTCATAGCAAGATAAATGGCTCTGATAATAGGCTGGAGGATTGCACATAAAGAAATTCAATTCCACTAGAATGCACTCTGAAAATTCAAGAGGCAGTTGTGGCATGCAGCTGTGTACTAGGGTAATTTCCTTTAAATTATTTCGTCTTGTAACTTCATTGTTTTATTAATACAAGCAATGAGGTGAAATGGAGCATGAGCTGAAAGGCATGTGTGTTCTACCGTTCCTCCTCCATGATGCCATGATTTAGGGTTTTGGCATTTGAACTGCTACTGTCTTGTAGTGGAATAGGATGCTCAGAGGTGTTTCTATGAGCCTGTAACACTCACCCTTAGGACTCATGCTTGCTAAAATACCCAGTTACAAAAAAAGTGCTACCGGGCTCAAATGTGCGTCTTCACATTGCTCACTTTCATATGTTAGCCTGGTGGGAAGGAAGAAGGCCTTGTCCAGTGTCCTGGTTCCAATGACAGGTCTGCCCTTCACTAACTGTCATCCTGAGCAGCTTGTGAACCTTAGCTTTATGCCAAGTCCATATGCATTAACAAACTTAGACACGGAAATCATGTGTGATCCTAACTACAGAGCAGGCTGGGCACAGGGGCTCACACCTGTCCCTCAGCTACTAGGGAGGCTCAGGCAGGAGGATGGCTTGAAAATAATAACATCCACCAACTTCCTACCTTAGTTGAAGTGAGGCACAGATGAGAGGTGCTTTGGAAACCGTCACGTTAGCTGTTCTTGCAATGTTACATCATTAGCAGGGATCTCTTGCAATGTGTGTTTTAGTCACCAAGGAGGGCTGACCAAGCCAGTCTATGAAGCACCCACCTAAGGGGGTCTTTGAACCCCTTGCTCCATCTCCTTCACTCCCCACCCCCTTAGCCTTCAACTAGGAGCACCCCGGCCCTTGTTCATTAGGTGTTTCTTCCATTTCCAGAGGCCCAGTCTAAGACATTCAATGGACAAAAGCTTTAGGAAGTCAAGGCATGGTTCAAGAGTGTGGAATTTCAGATACTGGTAGCAGGTGATAGGGAAGCATCACCATTGTCTGACCTTTAGGGCAGCAAGTGGTAGCACAGCATGTAGTATTTCTCAAACTCATGCCTGTGGGCCAAATTTTTAAATTTGTGTTTCTCAGTATCTTTTTTTTTTTTTTTTGAGACAGAGTCTCACATTGTTGCCCTCTGTAGAGTACTGTGGCCTCACAGCTCACAACAACCTCAAACTCTTGCCAGGTGTCCTCAAATTACAGCCCGTGGGCCACATGCGGCCCACCTAGGACATTTATTCGGCCCTCCGGGTGTTTTTGCTGCAGCTGCCTGTCCTGCTTAGCAGCCAACTCATCCCAGGGCTCGCAGTCTGGCCCTCCAACGGTCTGAGGGACAGTGAACTGGCCCCCTGTTTAAAAAGTTTGAGGACCCCTGGGTGATTCTCTTGCCTCAGCCTCCCAAGGTGCTGGGACTACAGGTGCCCGCCACAATGCCTGGCTATTTTTTGGTTATAATTGTCATTGTTGTTTGGCAGGCCTGGGCTGGGTTCAAATCAGCCAGCTCTGGTGTATGTGGCTGGCACCCTAGCTGCTGAGCTACAGGTGCCAAGCTTCAATATCCTCTTAAAACTATATTTATGCATATTCTGGATCAATAATACAACTATTTTATAGTTTGGGTTTTTTTTTTTTTTTAATATACTGAGTTTCACTTTGTTACCCTCCATAGAGTGCTGTGGCATCACAACTCACAGCAACCTCAAATTCCTGGGCTCAAGTGATTCCTTTGCCTTGGCCTTCCAAGTAGCTGAGACTATAGGCACCTGCCACAATGCCTGGCTATTTTTAGAGACAGGGTCTCACTCTTGTTCAGGCCACTCTTGAACTCCTGAGCTCAGGCCATCCAGCCACCTCAGTCTCCCAGAGTGCTGGGATCACGGGTGTGAGCCACTGTTCTGTAGTTTAGGATCACCACATGATTTCAGCTTCTATCCTCCTTGTTTATGCATATGGACTATTTTAATAAAGCTAAGAGCAGGGTTGTTATAATATGCAAATGATATGTACAAGCTATTCAAAGGCAAAATGGTATTTGGGATCTATGGGGAGTGAAGGCTTCCTGGTAATTCAAATTAATTCGAAAGCAAAGTTAACCCCATGCTGCTGTGTGTGGGTAGTCAGGACTGTCTTTATGTGGCCAGCAGAGATTCTGTTTTCCAGGAAAACAATATCCTCCATTTCATTAATGTTGTTAATTTGACTTACTGGTTATACATTGTAAATGTTCTATTTCTGTTGGCATGTAACTTGTAAATTTATTTTGGTGTAAAGCTTAAGTTTCATTTTTGTTCCTACTTTAGCAACATAATTATTTATGTCAACATTGGGGAGCTCTGATTTTTTAAAGGGCTTTGTATATCACTCAACTTGGAGAAACTGTGGTAGTAGAAAGAGTATCAGCTACAGTCAGGGTATCTGTTTCTGGCTGTGGCTTTGATGTTAATTGCCTACTTGTAGGATTTTGGGGTATTCAACTCACCTCCATAGATCTCAGTATGTTTATCTACAGAAATAAAGGGCTTGATTATAAGATTTTTTTTTTTTTTTTTGAGACAGGATCTCATTCTTTGCCTGGGCTACAGTGTAGTGTGATCATAGTTCCCTGTAACTTCCAACTCCTGGGCTCAAGTGATACTCCTGCCTCAGCTTCCAGTGAGGCTGGGACTGCAGGGGTGCACCACCACGCCTGGCTAATTTTTTTATTTTTGTAGAGACAAAATTTTGCTGTGTTGCTAAGGCTGGTCTGGAATTTCTGGCCTCAAGTGCTCCCCCTGCTTTGGCATCTCAAAGTGCAAGGATTATAGGCGTGTTCCACCACATTCAGCCTTCTAAATTCTATTCTTGAAAGATCAGAGCCCTCAGTTGGGAATACAGTCAGGCACTGGTTTGAGCTATTTGAACTCTGAGAATAAAGCCTGAGGTCACTTGAATCAGATGACTGTCAAGATTGCTAGGAAAGTGCTTCAAAGCTGCCCTAACCCCAGAGAGAACTAGAGAGAGGCCTTCATGAGTGTTGCTGGCTCAGACAGGTTGGTTGCTTTGGCCTAGAGCAATGATTCCTTAGGGCCCACAGGGGTGGGAATGGGGGTGAGGCGGGGCTGGAGGGGTTGGGGGGTTGTCAGAATCACCCAAGGGCTTCTCAGTCCTGCCAGCTCCTTGTTTGAAGACTTGTCCCACTTTAGAACCATGATGCAACTCCTGCCGGACTGAATCCCTCCGGGGTGTGGCATGGAAAAATGGCTGGAAAATGGCAGCAAAGCAGTCGGAGACTACTAAGTGAAATTCTGGAATATGTCACAGGCAGTAGAAGTGGGGAACCAAATCCTAGAAGCTTTGGGAAGTCAAGCCTGGAGAATTCCAGAGGGATTAAAATCTAAACAATTCGAAGATTTCTCCTTTTTCTTTTTCTTTTTTTGAGACAGAGCCTCAAGCTGTCCCCCTGGGTAGAGTGCCATGGCATCACAGCTCATAGCAACCTCCAACTCTTGGGCTCAAGTGAGTCTCCTGCCTCAGCCTCCCAAGTAGCTGGGACCACAGGCGCCCGCCACAATGCCCAGCCATTTTTTTGGTTGCAGCCATCATTGTTGTTTGGCGAGTCCGGGCTGGATTCGAACCTGCCACCCTAGGTGTATGTGGCTGGCGCCCTAGCCACTTGAGCCACAGGTGCCGAGCCTCCTTTCTTTTTCTTCCTCCTCCTCGTTTTACTCCCTTCTGTCTCCCATCTTTAATAGATAATTTTTTTTCTTTCATATCAGACAGATAATGTGCTGACTGTGCAACGAGGTTTGAGGGAGGCACATTCCACACAGGCGTGTGAAAACCCAATCATCCTGTTTAGGAACTGCAGAGGGATCAAGAGCCGGACTTTACTGGCCACTTACCATGTGGTCCCCAGGCCCTCATACCTGGTTCATTTTATTCTCACCACACATCCTCTGAGGCGAGTCCTTTCATTATAATATTTAGCTCACATTTTCCCTCAGGACAAGGAGGCCCAGAGGATTCAGTTGCCCACATTCACCTGTGGGAGTGACTCAGGGCTTGCCTGAATGGTGGGCTCTGGGTTTGAAATCCCACACTGCTTTGGCAGCACGACCCCAAGTGAAGGGGATCTCTGACAAAGTGGAAGCAGCCCTGATGGAAAGAGTGAAAAATGAACAGAACAAGGTATAGAGCAGACAAGCAGGGAAAAACCTGGCATTTCCACCAAGGGAGGAGCTTACCTACAGCAGGCAGGCAGAGCCAAAGGCCAGATGGCACTGGTACTGACCACCCCATAAGGAGTAGCTAAGATGGAAAGTAAAGATTAAGTGAGAATGTTACAAGAAATAAATGTAGTTTATAGGATATATAAGAAGTAAAAGGCTGAGTGGAGGTGATGAGCTGTTTCTGCCACCCATCTACTATTAAGCTTTGCCTTAACTCTGTAAAGCTTTTTTAGGTCTTTCAATAAACCCTGAGTCTCTCTCTCTCTCTCTCTTTTTTTTTTTTTTTTTGAGATAGAGTCTCACTGTGTTGCCTTAGGTAGAGAGCTGTGGCATCACAGCTCACAGCAACCTCAAACTCTTGGGCTTAAGTGATTGTAGGTGGCTTAAGTGGTTGTATGCCACCACGCCTGGCTATTCTCTTCCCCTTGAATCTGGTCAGCTTACCTCGAACCCTTTGACAAAGACAGCAGCACGAGCAGCCTACTGGGAAGGTCAAAAGAGGACTCTGGGAACAATCTCTTCCATTCCTGAACCTTATAAGGAGCCCAAATGCCCTGAGGTCTTTATGCTTGAGAGACCAGGTGGAGAGAGCCCGTGGAGAGGCTGTCAGACCCCGTGAAGATAACAGAGAAGCACAGCGGGTCCTCAACTGTCTAGCCTGTAGCCATTTGAGTCATTCCAGTTATGGCTCCAGACACCGTGAGCAGAGGCAGGCCTTTGCTTATGAAATTTGAAATTGGTAACCCACAAAATCATCAGAAAATAATGAAATGATTTTTTTAGGACATGATTTTTGGGTTAGTTTTGGATGGGCTACACTAAATAACGGGAACAAAACTCGTCCCCTATTTATAAATATTTAAATTGTGTCTGAGTTTTCTCTATTACACACTTCCCTGTACAGGCACTTTTTTGAATATGTGAGAATATCTCCTAGATAAATTCCTAGAGATTGAACGGCTGGATCTAAGAACTTTCTTCCCTCTCTCCCCTCAGTCCTCCAGCCTCTTATTTACTTACATTGGGATTAATTTGAGGTTACAAATGATTAGGTTACACTGTTTGTGTTTCTTCTAAAGTTTAAGTTGTGGTTGAATCCTTCACCCAGGGGCATGCTGTATACCCTAACTTTGTGCCCATAAGGTGCGAGTTTACCAATCTCCCCCTTTCTCTCCCACACCCCGCATACTTGTGTCTTTCTCTCTTGTGGCCGTATAGTTGTTTTCTATGGATTTCATATTCTCTACCCTCTTTAATAGGTATTGGCCAGTTTCCTTCTAGAAAGAACATTTACCTTTTCCTTTGCTCTCCCCAAAGTCTTTGACAATTCACTTCATCTCCCTGTGTTTCCCTTGCTTGTCTCTAAATCAGCGGTTCTCAACCTGTGGGTTGCGACCCCTTTGGACTGTATTAAAGGTTTGCGGCATTAGGAAGGTTGAGAACCACTGCTCTAAATGGAAAATAACCCCAACTCTGCTTACTTATAGGGTTGTTATCAAGAGGTCAAAAGTGAAATCAGAATAAGATCATACAAACAAGATGTCATTTATTATGATCTGAGGATCTCAGTCATTTGGGGATGGGGCTGCTCTGACTTTATCTTTGTCCTTTCCTGTCTTCTCATTCATTCATTCTCTCGCTCCTCCCTCCCTCCAACCTTCCCTCTCTCTCTGTAACACACGCAATGAATACACGTGTATCTTCTGTGTATAGATATATGCAATGAGTGTTTACTATATCTATATGCATGATTTTTATGAGAACAATTACGAATACTGGAGTCAAGTGTAAGAATTGTAGTAGAGGGTGGCGCCTGTGGCTCAAAGGAGTAGGGTGGTGGCCCCATATGCTGGAGGTGGCGGGTTCAAACCCAGTCCCGGCCAAAAACTGCAAAAAAAAAAAAGAATTGTAGTAGAAAATGAAAACTGCTGTTGTATAATATTTGTCATGTCTGCTGCTTCAGGGATTAAACTAATCACTACCTAGCAACAGCAAGAAATTTGACTTGTATACAGAATATAAAAGTGAATTCATTATAGGAAATTTGTACCATTTTAAAAAAAATCTTTATTTTATTTTTTTAAGACAGAGCCTCAAGCTGTCACCCTGGGTAGAGTGCTGTGGCATCACAGCTCACAGCAACCTCCAACTCCTGGGCTTAAGCAATTCTCTTGCCTCAGCCTCCCAAGTAGCTGGGACTACAGGCCCCCGCCACAATGCCTGGCTATTTTTTGGTTGCAACGTCATTGTTGTTTGGCAGGCCCAGGCTGGATTCAAATCCACCAGCTCAGATGCATGTGGCTGTCACCTTGGCCACTTGAGCCACAGGTGCTGAGCTGGAAATTTGTACTTTTGGGGGGTGGGGGTGGGAGAGGGTACTAGGCAATATTTCTCCATACAGAAAAAAAGCACTAGTGTCTGAAGCAGAAGTTTCAGTATGTTGCACATGACACTTTCCAGTAGATTTTGAGCAACACTGAATTATTTAAATGCATACACTTCCATGCTAGCGGGCTAAAAATTAGAACACCCTATAAAACTGCCATTACCCTGATTCATTGGTTCCTCCCTTGCCGCTGCAAAGCCATCTGGTGACGGCCGAATCCTTCAGGCACAGCTGTTTTCTTTTGGCTCCCTCGATTCCTCAGTTCAAAAATAGATGGGATATCATTGTGTTGTACTTTTACCTTTCTCTTCCCTCATTTGACCTCAAAGCCACTGATTCAATTTCCAGCCTTGGCCCACATCTTTTCCATAGGTATCATGATCTGCATTGCATGCCTTCTGCATCATGAATCAACAGTTGGTAAAAATATCTTAAGGACTTAAAGATAATGTTTAGAAGAAAGTAGAGTGATCATCAATTTAGGAAAATCTGTAATAGAAACACATTTGGGAGAGAAGATGCTTACCTTTGGCCCTAGAGGGATATTTGGTAAAAAACTGTCATCACAAAATTCAACGGGATTAATTTTAGAGATTTGTGGAACTAGAAATCAGTCAGGCCTGAAGAAGAGAAAGTGTCTTTTAGGCACTTAGACAAACAGAGCCATGTGGCTGTACACATTTGGAAGGTGACTTTTTTTAGGAAATAGTGGTAGATTGTTGTGATATCAGGAGGGTTTTTTTTTTGCAGTTTTTGGCCGGGGCTGGGTTTGAACCTGCCACCTCTGACATATGCGGCCGCCGGTGCCCTACTCCTTTGAGTCACAGGTGCCACCTGATAGCAGGAGTTTCATGTTGAGGGATCTGGCAGCATAAACCTCCCAAAAACTAGGACTACAGGTGTTTGCCACCGCACCTATTTCTCTCTTTTAAACATTTACAGTGTCCAGTGTCTTCTAAAATGTACAACTGCAGAATTATACCAGATTTACCAAAATTATACTAAGGTTCAATTTGGAGAACTATATCATGAATTTTGATTCACTTGATTTCTAGGGAAACTATGCCGTTAGATTATTGCCTCAGAAAGCCCCTTCCCCCCAAAAGTCCTTTCCTGCCCTTAAAGTTACAACACCTCCCTAGAACAGGGAGTGGCCTGCTACCTCATCACCCTGTTCCAATTTCCCGCTGCCCACCCCTAATGGCTGGTTCTGCTGGAGGAATAACTCCTTATTGGTTATCCCACCAGCCTGTCACCATTCTAAAACTCCCCTATATAAGAATATGTTCCCCCCACCATCTTTCTCTCTTTCTCCCGCCTCCCTCTGCCTTCTTTCTCTGCTCTCTCTCTTTTCCACCTCTTCCCCTTCGCTCTTCTCTACTTGCTCTCTCCTCTTCCCCACTCTCTCCTTATCTCTCTTCCCACTTTTCTCTCCTCTTTTCTCTCCTCCTTGATGCTGCTCTGCAGCCTCCCTCCCCCTACCAATAAAGACCTTTCATGCAAGCCTTGGTGTTCTGTAAAATCTTTGCCGGTCCAAGTGCCTCTCTTTCATATGCTTTCCTAAAATCCTTCAATCTAGAGTTCATTATAATTAACTTGTTTATTTCAGAAGATTCATTCAGCTATTCTATTGTATAATATTGATCTATAGATATAATATATCCCACCACTATTAGTGTGGATGCTTTCCCAGAAATGCCAGCTGTTTTTTACAAGGATAATCTCTGTGAAAACTATAATTATCTGTAAATTACAAAGTATCAATACTTACACCATTAAAAAAACAAATCAAAACCTGGGCAGGTTTAAAAAAAAAAATCACACCTGTGGCTCAAAGGAGTAGGCTGCTGCTGGCCCCATATACCGGAGGTGGTGGGTTCAAACCTGACCCTGGCCAAAACTGCAAATAAAATAAAATAAAACCTGATAAAAAACATTTCTGCC